AGGCTATAATTTCTGTATTTTACAACATTTCGTAACAAAATTTTGCAATTTTACTGATTTTAATAAGTTCTTTACGGGAATTTACTTTTTTTTGCCTAAATAAAAAATTAGTCTAACATGCAAGTTGTCTATTAACATGCGCAGATATCAGATTTTGTGGCAAGTTGCAGCAATTTTGTTGCCCATATTAGTATATTACTCCACCTTAATTGCTATTGTCAAATTCCGAATTTACTGAAAGACAGTATTAAGTAAATTGAACACAATTCAAATATTATTAATATTTGAATTGTGTTCAATTTACTTAATACTTTCTTTCAGTAAATTAGGAATTTGACAATGGCAATTATAAAGGTGGAGTAATATACTAATATGGGCAACAAAATTGCTGCAACTTGCAACAAAATCTGATTTCTGCGCATGTTAATTGAAATGTTTTGTCAACAGTTCTACTTAAAATGCGTTGAAATCAGATTTTGTTGCAGAAATTTTGGCTGCAGCAATTTTGTTGCGCGTATTACTCCAACCTCGGTATTACTCCAACTTTAACAACAATTAATGCAGGCTACCCACATGTACGCAGCGCGTACCTATTTTTTTATGTTTTGTTAGGCTGTTTTCGATATATTCAAAAACAAGTGCTGTTGAACGCATTCAAAACCACTTCTCCAATTACTCGGACCATTTGGACGAAATAGGAAATTATTGTGGAGCTTTCATAAATATTTTGTAATTGCATTGGATCTATCCCATTTGGACAGATTTGATCATTTCCATGCAATAGTTGCGGAATTGATATTTTTCTGGACTATTTTTTGTAAATTAGCTTGATTCTGCAAGACGGAAACAAATTCTGCCCGTTTTTTGACGATATGATCAGCGATACGTAGACATTTATCTAAAAATTAGGCTAAATAGAATATGCAACCCTATCGTAGAACGTGTTTTGAGTATTTAGCAGACAGTTAGGAAGATCATTTATGTTGAGGGAAAACAGCAAAGGTCCTAGATTTGATCCTTGGGAACACCACATATAACTATTTTGGCTCCGATTTTATTCCCTCTATTACACAGATTTGCATTCTGTTATCTAAATATGATTTAAAAAGACTAAGATACTGGTTTCTTATGCCATATACTTCAAGCTTCGATAAATGAATTTGAAGATTTACCGTATCAAACGCTTTCTTAAGATCAAGGAATAATACACCGTTAATTAAGCCTTTGTCAATATTCATCAACCACTTGTCTGTTATTTGCAGTAAGGACGTTTCCGTCGAGTGAAGCTTACGGAATCCTGTTTGTTGTTTTGAAATGATATTTTTTCCATTTATAAACTTGCGTAGTTGGTCACAAATAAGTTTTTCTAGGATTTTGGTAATAACTGGTAGAACTGAAATAGGTCTATACCTTCCGCAGTTACTTTTATCCCCTTCTTTATATATAGGGATTATGTTAGCCATTTTTAATTCATCAGGAAATATACCAGTAGCTAGGGCTAAATTAAAATAAATAGTAAAGATTCATTTATAGTGTATCCAGCAGCTTTTTAGTTGTTTATTTGAAATTTTATGTATAGGCCCGAAGCTTTAAATAGTTTTAAGCTCGGTACTACCTTATTTAGTTCGCTTTTATAAATTGCTCTAAAAGAAATTCACCTTTACTAGGAGTAATCATAATCGTTATTTGGTGGTATATCTTCGCAGAGTCTGGGTCCAATCTCGCAAAAAAAATTGTTAAATTCATTGGCTATGTTCTGATTTCCTGTAATAGTTTTTTCATCAGCATTAATTTCATTTATAATCGTGGTTTGTGATTTCCTATTGAGCAGTTCATTGATATAATTCCAACCATCTTTATTATTTGTGCACTTCTCTAAGTTTGTTTTATAATACGATGCTTTTGTTTCCCTAATGAGTGTAGTTACTTGATCTTTGCATCTTTTCTACGCTTCATGATAGGCTGCTGAATTCAGTTGCATTGTTTTCTTTTTAAGAAAATCCCTGTGGTGACTTATTTTCTTAATATTCTCATTTAGCCATGGGCTGCCTTCACTTTTAACTTTTCTAATGAGGCATGGGGCGTGTATATCCGCAACCATAAGAAAGATTGATTTCCACTCGTTCCACGCTTTGTTTGGATCACAATTATAAGTGATACCTCTAAGAGCTTGTTCTAAATCATCAGATTCACTTATTTTAGTGTCGTCGCTTTTGGTGATTATAATATCTAATAGTGTTTTGGTTGATGGTGTTGCTCTTGTGGGCGTCTTTATATGTTGTAGTTGTTGATAAATGTCAAAGAAGTCATTAAGCCTATTTGGGTTATTGTTATTGTATTCGGCCGTTTTGAGTAAGTCACAATTGAAGTCCCCCGTTATCACCATTTCACTGTTTTCATTATCTATTTTCATTAAGAAATTTCAAAATTAGTAAAGAATTCGCAATTTGCATTAGGGGGGCGATACCAAGTAGAAACTAATAAAGGTTTAACTTTTGTTTTTTTAGTTTCTAAACAAATGGCTTCTGCATTCTTAGGATTGAGGTCGGTTCTGATTATGTATGGAATACAGTTCCTTATATAGATAGCTACACCACCATCCATTCGATTTCTATCTCGTTTAATAACTTCATAACCAAGTTATTTAACCTGCGAAGCATTAATAGATTCATCAAGTCTTGTCTCATTAATACAAAGTATGTCGAATTGCAATTGTAAGATTAATATGTTCAGTTCTTCAATGTGTTTTACCAAACTGGCAATATTCAAATGGCCAATTTTAAATCCCTTAAGTTTTGGATATATTTTATTATTCCCGGTTTTATCATGAACACTTGTTTGATTAGAAGGGTCCGTGTGGTTTGTAGTGACATCATTGTTAACTTTTTCTAGTCAAAAACTATTTAAGTATCTTTTAATATTCTTAGCTAATTGCGAGGAACCAGTTTTGTTAAGTTATGAGCAAATTTTATCAAGCAGACTGTTTGTTTTTGCATTTAGGCTCAGGACATCAGTTCTTGTTATGATAGTTGAGAAAATTAATTCTGCATTACCACAATCTTGCTTAATATCTTTCCCAAGATCCAGCATCGATTCCGATACTTTTTCCGGCATAATATTTTTGATATCGTTGGTTCCCCACTGTATAATGACAGCGTCGGGCTTAGTTGCCAAAGTTGGTTTGGTATAATGCTTCACATCTTGAGTTTTGGCGTCTGGAAATGTTTTGATATTAATGCTTTTGTTGACGTCGTGTTGCAACCTTCGTTTGTCCAAATATTTAATCATGGAGTTTCCAAGAATTACAATTGTCGGTCGTTTTCGTGATCCGTTGTTTTTTTTCAGCTAGTCTCTCCTGTGTGTCCTTTGCGTGTTCCTCAGATTGGCTCTTTGTTATCGTTGGTATACGAGTTGTTGCTTTATCGCGAGCATTATTAGCTTCTTTCACCTTTTTTGGCTTTTTTTGTTTCGTTACCGGTGGTGGTGGTGGTCGCTCTACTTCAATTATTTCCTCTCGCTCGCTTTCGTCACTGACGATATTAAGTGCTGAATAACGATTTCTTATGGGTATATCATCAGCTAAGCCATTAGTCAAACTACATGCTTTTAATCGACTTGTACTTGCTGCATTATGTGTATGCCCCTCCCTTGTTTGCCATTGGGTTTCGAGGTTTTGTCGAGGGATTTCCAAATTTGCATCCGTGTAAAGTAATTTCATTAACACGTTCTACTATAGGGTCAAATATTCTATTTAACAGAATTTGAGAGGAAAATGAAAGAAAACACTAAAAAATGCAATGAATACAGCCATGACTGTGGAGAAATTATACATAAATGTAATAATTCTGCATGAAAACAAGAATTCCTTTTCAAACATGATAAAAATTGATTAAAAACATAAGAATAATTGCAAATGTGGACAATGACAGATTTCATGTTTTAATAGGAAAATCACATCAAATGCATGTTAAAAATGACTGGAAATATATTCAGCAAAAACGTACACATTTTGCAACAATTTTAGCTTTTCCAAATTGCAAGATATGACAAAAATGATACTAAATCTCTAAGAGGAAAAAACTGCTAAAAAATTTGGGCAAAATTTATTGTTTTTAGCAAAGTGAAGAAAAGGCATGTGAATAAAATGGGAAAAAAGAGGAAAATTTTATAGTTCCAAAACATGTTTGGAGGCAGCCACAGTCAGTGAAAATTATATATCAAGGACATGGCACATTCCACATTCGATATATCGAAAACTCTAAACTATCCAATGCTTCGATATACCGGTATCGAAAGAATGCCATTTCTTCGATATATTGAAAGATTGCAATTTCCTCGATATATCGAAAGAATGCCATTTCTTCGATATATCGAAAGAATGCTATTTCTTCAATATATTAAAAGAATGCCATTTCTTCGAAATATCGAAAGAATGCCATTTCTTCGATATATCGAAAGAATGCCATATCTTCGATATATCGAAAGAGTGCCATTTCTTCGACATATCGAAAGATTGCAATTTCCTCAATATTTCGAAAGATTGCAATTTCCTCGATATATCGAAAACTAAACTATCCATGGCTTCTATATATTGAAAGAATGGCATTTCTTCGATATATCAAAAGATTGCCATTTTTTCAATATGTCGAAAACTCTAAACTATCCATGGTTTCGATACATCAAAGAAATGGCATTGTTTCGATATATCGCAGAAATGACATTCTGTCAAATTCAATATGTGAAAAACCAAAAGGATGTCATGCCTTGCCAAAACATGCCATGTTTTAAATATTGATAGTAAAACAACAAAGTAGGGCACAATTCAGCTCAATGGGTTAGCAATATGGTATACACACAAAATATAACACATTCTACGATAAGGTTGTATATTCTATTTAGCTATAATCAAAATAATCACATGTACAGTCAGGGCCGCCAAGAAGGGGGAGGGGCAAATTCCCCTGGGCCCCCACCTTAATAGGGCCCCAACTTGGAGCAAGAGCCTAAAATTGAGTAGGTTCTATAAAGAGCATTTTTGAAATTGAGGGCCACTTACAGCACCTCCACATGCAGTCTAGCAAAAGTTTAGTTGGGTCTAGCTTAAAAATAATAATGTCATGGGGCCCCCAGGGAAGGTTTGCCTCGGGCCCCGCAAATTCTCTAGGCAGCCCCGTGTACAGTATAGCTAACTATATTAATTATACATAAACAACAACAACATATGTATATATCTATATTGACTAAAATCACTTCATTAGACAGTACGGTATACAGTAGTAACAACTAAATTCAGTTTTAAGAGTTTCTTCTGCCCTATAACTATATTGCTTCTGGCAATTTTCCCACGACAATGCATTTGGACCCACCAACATGCAGACCACTGCAGATAAACCAATCCCACAGCAGCGATGTAATACATCAAAAGAGTTTATCTTCACAAAACATTACATGGTACTGATTATATACCTTCTTGTATA